TTCAAATCCCACTTCTGGAAACTTTTATAATAACTACTAGGGTAAGTTTTCTTTTGTTCATTCTTGATTTCTTTCATACTTTTTCTTAATACACATTTCAAAGTCCTCATCACAAGTGTACTTCGTCAAATTGCTAGTTTAATCTCATCACATAATGATTTTTAGAAACCATTACAAACACTAAAAACGATACTGTAATCTTATATTCTAACTCTGTCAAATTGCTAGTTTAATCTCTCCACTTTTGATTTTTTATTGAATAGGGGTTTGAACTTATAAGCTATTTGATACATTGAATTTTTTTAAACATTATTCCATCTATAAAACTCTAAACTTTCAAATTTATATGTATTTTAAGAGCATTAAATAGGTCAACCACCTATTAGACATTCAAATGGAATATTCATGGATAATTTGTATGCTAATTAAATCAATACAAGTAAATAATATTGTTTCATCGGAATAAGTCACCAAAATTAAAAGTCTAACCCTCTTATCCTCGAGGTCTTCAAGTTATCTAAGTCTTATCTTAAATAATAACCCTATGATCATGCATCCAATAACTTAAAGTTCTAGGCATACTTAAAGTTAAGAGTTTAAAGGCATACTTACTTGGTCTCGGTAGGGAGTCCTCCTAAGCTAGGACATAGAGAAACCTTGGGCTCTGATACCACTCTGTAAGGATCGGGCTGTCGCGATGGTTCTAAAAGACGGGTAAAGTTTTTGTGAAATAAACAAAAGAATTTAAAAAATTATATTTACATAATATCAAAATAAAGTTTATACATAAGTATTTAAAATACAAAAATAAGGAACAAGCACAAAACATTTTAAAATAAATGGGTTGAGGACAACGAGTAAGGTTTGTCTATGGCACCTGCTTCAGAGTCTGCTCTGACGTTGACCAACTCTTTATTACCTAAAAAAGTGGAGAATAAAGAATGAGACAAAGGTAAGTAGCCTACTTGTAGGCTCTTAATCGTATCCTTAATTTTCTAGGGTACCACATTTGTTGTTGTTGTCTTATTCTTGTTCTTGTTATTGTTCTTGAGTTAGGGGATCTTATCTTGATTATCCTGAGGACCTTGGTCCCTAGATTATGAAACATTTGTTATCCTTTAAAGGCCTTAGTACATAGTTCTTGGTTCTTGGTTCATGTCCTAAAACCTTGGATCTTGATCCATGTTCTAGACCTTGATCTTTCTCTTGTTCCTGGTACTTTCTTTATTCTTTTTTTGTTCTTTATTCGTTCTCCAAGACACTCCCCCTAGGATTTACGGCACGAGCTATGCACCTAACAATCCTGTGTCCAAGGTTTCATGCATTCCAAGCGATATAGTCTTAACCTACATTCATGGCTTCATGAGTTCCAAGCGACGTAGTCTTAACCTGCATCTAAGGGCTTGCCCTTCGATATCGTTCACTAACCTATGCCCAAGGCTTCATGCATTCCAAGCAGCATAGTCTGAAAAACCAACATCCAAGACTTCTTAAGTTCCAAGAGATGTAGTCTAATCCTGTCTCAAGGGCTTGCCCTATGATACAGCCTAAACACCTAAGCTCAAGGCTTCATGCGTTTCAAGCAGCGTAGTCTAAGTCATGAGCACGTTTTACCGTGGGAGGTCTTAGGAGTTTTTGATTCTTGGCAAGGGTAACTTACTATCTTCTTGTTCCATCATGGCCCTAGACTACTCCCCATGATAAACCATAAAGGTTACGTGGTCGATGCATACATGAACATGGCATCCTGCAAATCTTTTGGGTACCCATAATATGGTGTAGGGCATCTCTTCTAGGTGAGAGAGATGAGGCCAATCATGATATTCTGCAAAGGAAACATGGTGCAGGGTATCCCACCAAGAAGAAGAAATCTTGGGCTGGAAAAGCATCGCTTGGTGGGAGGTCATAGGTCACTTTGAACATGAGTAGAGATTTTGTGTCTGAGGACCTTGGTCCCTTATCCTTGAGTGGTACCTTACATTCTTCTTACTTGGGTAGTTGTACAGCCTGTGTGGTATTGTTCTTGGTTCTTAATCTTGTAAGTTTCTAAGGTTCGTAATTCCTTGAGGCATAAGTTGTAACTTGCATTTGTAACCATACGAACCCATCTTAGCACGAGTTGTTCTACAAGGTCATAGATTCATAGGGAGTTCTTTAGAGGGTTCTAGAAGAGTCTTGATTTTTGTGGTGTTTCCTTTAAGTGTTTCTTAGGTTCTAACTTGGTTTAGGTTCCAAACTTGCTCCAATCAACTTGAAACCTCAAACATATTTTCATGTCCTTCATAATAGACCTTATAATAAGTACGAAATCATTTAGAGCACGTATAGACCTTGAATTTTTATAACTCGTCTTAGGGGCATTTTGGTCATTTTATCCATAATTCTTGGTTTTGCTACTTAACGTGTTCCAATGGCTTTCAAATTTTCATAATTCATCCTAGGAGTTCATTTAGTGGGCTATTTTAACATTACTTATATCCGGAGCATTTTGATCAGTTTAGGGCCTTAATTCACAGTTCTTCTGTTTTTCTTTCATATATCCTAAATTCAACTTATTTTAGGTTCATGTGGAAAATCCAATGGATTCCTACAAGTATTTTTTAACAAAACGTCCAACGTCACTACTTACCTCGTCGTTGACATTTGGAATTTCCGTTCTTGAGCTTCTAGTATCCAAATTATCTCAAATTTTCTTCCACAGACTCCTTATTTTTTCTAGTTACTAGAACCATAAAGATTTTCGTGAGAACCGGTCAGGAAAGAGGTTAAAATTGAGAAAACTGAGGGAAGCTCAACATATACTATCTTTGACTTTTATTGGTCAAAGTTTGACCTTTGACTTTGGACTTCATCTTCTCCCTTGGTAGCTAGAAAATTCTCGATTTTTTCTTATCGAACCCCATTAGTTTTACCTTTTTAAAGCTATATATAGACATCTAATGGATTCGATCCCTCCACCAAACCTTTAGATGAAGTTTAAAGCAAGAAGTATCGACCAAGTTCACACTTTTTCGTGGTCTGTAGCACAAGTTATAACCTTCCAAAGTTAGTCGGAAAACATGTTTCTCGCCTGAGTATATCTAGAAACCTTTTGTTGGGTAGCCGATTATAAAACTTTGCAGTGCCTGATTCCTTCACGAAACTTGTTGTAAATCCCATATGAAATATGTAGGAGTTGGTAGGAAGGAAAATGATTAACCATAGCCCTCGAATTTGGAAGAAATCCGAGAAAAAAAACTCATAATCTAACAGCTTCAAACTTGAGTTTTAGGATTTTTAATCACTCGATTCTTGTCTTAAAATTTTGCCTCAACTTCAGATTTTATAAGGGAAGCTTCCATCGACATTGAGAGCTTCAAAATCGACGTGATTTGGAGACTGAATTTTCTAGATAATTCGTTGAAAATATCCTCTTCGATCAGCGAGCTACCAACTTCGAGTTTGAATTCTGACTGTTGGATTTGATGATCTTTGAATGTTCTAGATTGTATCCAAATTTGGGGAAAATCCAACCACTGGAATTTGAGATTTGAAGGACTTTATGCAGACAGTCACATGCAGAAGGTTTTATTTTCAGTAGGATGGCACTTTCGTAATTATCCATATCATCAGGGTAATTTGGTAATTTGCCACTTTCATAATATTTTATTATTATTTTTTCTCATAAATTCATAATTTTCCTAAAAATTTCTTCATCTCTTGTTGGTCATTTTTGGGTTTTGAGCATCTTGAAATTCCCACTAGATAAGGAATTAAATATCCGAAAATTTTCTTTAAAATTGTAAAGTGACCTTTTCATCCTTTTCGCTTACGCTTTCATTCCCAATACTTCTCCAAAGGCCTTAGTCCTTATAGTTACTCATTAGGGTATAGAAATGACTTGCTTAAGACCCTTTTCCTTGCTTAATCCTCTTAATTTCTTTATTTGATCCTTTCCGTCTTACGTGGGTGACTTTGCTTCATTTTTCGGCTGTTACACCTTCTTACCTCTACCGACCACCAACAAATAACTAAAAAAGAAATGCAGAAATTTAAAATAAACAGACGACTAGATTCCTTAGGACAACACCCTCTGTGACCTCATAGTTCTCGAGCAGCACTTTTTACCTTGACTAATAGTCAACAAACAATTAAAAACTAAAGATAGAAATCCAAAATAAACAGACACGACTGGATGCCTTTGGACGATCCCCACTGTTACCACATAGTTACCACTAACATGTGGTAACTAGCAACTTTATGCAATGCTTCTATAACACCTGTTCATCAACAGCTCGATTCACATGAGTTACCCACTAACATAGATATCTTGCTTAACCTATGCCAAATTGCTAAGTTGTAAGATTATGATTTTTTTAAGTTTATTCTGCATAAAGTTGTGTAAAAGAAACTCGATTTTCTTTATTAGGAGCTAACGATCTATAATGTGCATAAAATCTATGCCCAATTAGCTCAGTTGTAAGATTGTAGTGTAAAAAACGTGAAGGTCGTAGGTTCGACAATAACATAGGCCAAGTTTTATTAATTCTTAATAATATCTTTTCATGATACGGGGTTAGAACAGTACGAACTTTAAACAAATGATACGGCTGTTCACAATTTTTCTTTAGATCTGAGTCGTTCGATATGTTCTTCAGTGAAGGATGAAAATTGAGAATTTCTGAGAGTCCTTTCAGGAACAAGAAGGAGGTAAATGAACTTATTTTGGGCGTTCGATATGTTCTTTTACGAAAGATGAAATTCGAGGATTTCTCAGAGTCCTTTCAAGAACAAGGAGGTAAATGAACTCACTTTGAAGGCCAGATTCAGTATTGCGACTCTCATGAGAGAAAATTTTTCGGCAAGCCACATGTCAACTTGTGGGAAGGAAAGCGCGTGAGACCGTCGGCAAGCCACGTGTCAACTTGCGGGAGGGAAAGCGTGTCAGACAGCCTGAGGGACACGTATTGATGATTGGGTGGACTAACGCGTCAGGCGCATTGTCAGGAGAGAAAATCTATGGCCTATTAGCTCAGTTGGTTAGAGCGTCGTGCTAATAACGCGAAGCTCGTAGGTTTGACACTTCCATGGGCCAATTTCATTCATTTTTAACTATATCTTTTTCATGATACGAGTTAAAGCACTACGAACTTTAGAAGATAATGACTTTTTTAAGTTTATTATGCATAAAGTTATGTAAACGAAACTTGATTGGCTGGATTAGGAGCTAATGATCTATAATATGCATAAAACTTATGCCCTATTAGCTTAGTTGTAAGATTGTCGTGTTAAAAACGTGGAGGTCGTAGGATCGACAATTACATAGGCCAAGTTTTATTAATTCTTAATAATATCTTTTCATGATACGGTGTTACAACAGTACGAACTTTAAACCGATGATACGGCCGTTCACAAGTTTTCTTTAGATCTGAGTCGTTCTTCAATGAAGGATGAAATTCGAGGATTTCTGAGAGTCCTTTCAGGAACAAGAAGGAAGTAAATGAACTTATTTTGGGCGTTCGATATGTTCTTTTACGAAAGATGAAATTTGAGGATTTCTCAGAGTCTTTTCATGAACAAAGAGGTAAATGAACTCATTTTGCAGATCAGATTCAGTATTGCGACTCTCATAAGAGAAATGTTTTTGGCAAGCCACGTGTCAACTTGCGGGAGGGAAAGCGTGTCTGACAGCCTGAGAGACACGTATTGACGATTGGGTGGAAAAATGCATCAGGCGCATTGTCAGGAGAGAAAATTTTCCACGTGTGAACTTGTGGGATGGAAAGCGCGTCAGATAGCCAGCAAGCCATGTGTCAACTTGCCAGAGGGAAAGCGGCCACGTGTCAACTTGTGGGAGGGAAAGCGTGTTACATGTCAACTTGCAGGAGGGAAAGCGGCCACGTGTCAACTTGCGGGAGGGAAAACGTGTCATGTGTCAACTTGCTGGAGGGAAAGCGTGTCAGACAGGCTGAGGGACACGTATTGATGATTAGGTGGAATAACGCGTCAGGCGCGCTGTAAAGTGATCTGTATGGTGCCACGCTTCAATGTAAAGAATTTCTCTTTCTAGCACGCACCTCTTGTTTTGAACCCACGACTTATCAGTAGCTTTCCTCTCTTTCTCCATACTTCTTCAATTCTTTTAACAAGCTTAGAAATTACTTTCCCATTCTCTTCCTTCTCTAGTTTGAGATTGAAAGAACTCTCACTCAGCTCAGCCCTTCCTTCTCTAAGATTTCAATCTCCATTTCTAAAAGCTCTCTTTTCTTTTTCAATCTCTACTTTCTCCTTCAAAATGCGCTCGTTCAGCGATTTATACGTCTGCAACTAAGACTTCTCCATAGATTTATCCACGGCAGATTTTGGTTGTTGCTCTAAATCTCTATTCTCTTTTTGATGATCCGGAAGTTTCTTTGGCTCGTTTTCCGATCGCGTGTTCAATCCAGATTCCTTCTTCGATTTTCTCATCTCCAATATTGCGATTTTGCCGAATTCGCTTTGTATCCCCTCATTTCCAACGGTTTCCACCGCCTCACAACTACCGCCATTGTCTTTTTCAACGTCATGTTCTTACGCTTTCAGATCTTCATTTTGAGCCATCAAGAGAAGACCTAAGTCCTTCGTTTGTTGTGTCACCAAGGCTAGGTTGATTGTTTTTTTCACCTTTTTATCGGCTCGACAATATTTTGCAAAATGCCCCTCTACCACAATTGTAACATTTGTCGGAGTTACAATTGTTTGCATAATGCATATTTGTGACATTTGTAGCACTGAATGTTGGAGTAAATTGATCGGCCGCCTCTTCCTCGATTGCGTCCTCTTCCATGCCAATTTGCTTGGCTCGGCTGTCCCTTCTTCTTATATTATCCTTCATGACTACTTCCTTGAGCACCATGACCATTTTTACTAATTTCACGGTCAAAACCTCTACCTTCAAAATTTTGAGAGTAGAGTACCTTTTAATCTTTGATTGACGCCTTGGTTTGAAGTGCTTGATCAAGTGTTTCCTTCTTCTTCTTCTTACGTTGCTCGTGTGTCTCGAGAAAACTGGCTAGCTCGTCGACTGTTAATGTTGTCAGGTCCTTTGACTCTTCTATCGCGCATACAACATTCTCAAAGTTGTTGGTTAATGACCTTAAAATCTTCTCCATAACCCGCATCTTGGCTAACATTTCTCCATTTCGATTGAGTTGGTTTACCACTGTTTGTACATGCATGATGTAGTCAGATACACTCTCTGACTCCGTCATCTTCATGCTCTCCAACTTGCCAAGAAGAGTTTGGAAACGACTTGCTTGACTCGGTCAATTCCTTTGAACACTTTTTCTAAATTTTCTGACGTTCTTTTGAAGTAGTTGCATTGGCAAGCTTCTCAAAGCCCGACCCGTCAACGGCTCGGAACAACATGTATAGTGTCGTCTTATCCTTTGATCGCACCTCTTTTAGCGTCTTGTTTTGTGTCGCTCTATAACCCGTGGCATCTTTTTGTTCTTCTAACCCTTCTTCGACCACCTCCCATGCATCTTGAGAACCGAGAAAAGCTTTCATATGAATGCTCCAATTCTCGTAGTTTGTCTTCACTAGTCGCGGTAGCGGCATTTGACCCACATTTGCCATTGGCTTGATATAATTTTGTTAACGAAAACTCATAAATTTGTGAAATAAGTCCCACACACAATAACGATAAAAGGAGACAAAGATAACACATGTATTTATAAGGTTTTCTAAAACTAAATATAGACATAACAATGTCACTATTCGTAACCCTTAAAAAGTCATTATTCCTATCAAGATTCTTGGCCTTTCATCTTCAAAACGGTTGGCCTTTTACTCCAAGACTGACTCTTGAATTTAAAACCCACTAAAATTCTCCATGGGGAATCCGATCCCTGCCACTTCCTTACCATGAATCCCTAACCGTGATCCCCACACAAATAAATAGAGAATTTCATGGAAATTGAGAATGAAATAGATGGTGGGGATGATGACGGGGAATGGACATCGCTACCTCTGGCCGCTGCACATGTCGTGTTTTATGATTGTATGACATATACTATGTTATGTATATGATATGATATACGATATGTTGCATACAAGTTACGCTATGATATCATATACACTATTCTAGGACTATGAGACATTAGAAAATCATGTATTGTTAATTACTAAAAATATGAAATGAATCAAGTATTTATATCTCATAGGAACACTATGCTAGGAATAGATTGGAGGTATGACTAGCGCCATGAATATATGTCATGCTTTGATGTTATGGGACCTCATGCATTTTGTATGCCACGTGCATCGAGATACTTCTATATTATGTTTCGTACACCCGATGCCTATGAAACATTAGAAAAATCATGTATTGTTAATCATGAACAATATGACAAGAATCAAGTATGTATGTCTCATAGGAACGTTATGTCGTGTTTTAATGTTAGGGATCTCATGCATTTTATATGGGAGGTGCATCGAGATACTTCCCCATTATGATTAGTACAAACACATACCTTATAATATTTATGTTCCTTATGATATTATGCTGGTCTTTTCCCTTCATGGTATTTGGTAGTGTGAGTGTGCACAAGCTCGACGAGGCAAACCCATAGAGTACTCTTATACCAACCCACCTGGTGATCAATGTGCACATTCATGAGTTGTGTGTAGGGAAGTACAACATATTCAACTCTTCTTGGACTAAAAAGCAAAGCCCAAGCCCATGCCACAATGTATTTATGAAAGAATAGATCCCACTATATTACACGTGATTCATATTCCGACCCTAATAGTGGGATTACTTACTGAGTATTTATTAAAGTACTCAAACCACATGCTACTCTTATTTTAAAGTAAAGGTAAGATACCTATTTACGAACGTCAACGTTGCGTTCAAGGCCAAGAAACCAAAGTTAGGGTAGTTGGATTCATGTTATTTTTAGTGATCCTTAAGTTAAATCAGGGCATTGTTTTATTTTTATTTAAACTAATGTTATCTGTTTTCCACTATGTTGTTCATAACAATATTGTTTTAATGAGTTCATTATGAACATTTAAGTCCATAGCATCATTTATGAAATGTTGTAAATGAATTATTTCATGCATAGCAGTAATGTCATGTATGCTGTGACGATATTGTTTAATAGAAAAATAGAGTAGTTGGTTATAAGAACCATGAATAAAAAGGGATAAAATATGTGTCCTCTGACCAGTGTAGATATTTTTTACGGATTATCTAGAAAGTTCAATCTCAATATCACAGTAATTCTGAAGCTCTCAATGTCAATTTTAGCTTCCCCTGTAAAGTTGAAAGTTTAGGCAATAGTTTGGAACAACAATCGAGCTCCCAATAGTAGGCAATAAGCATTTAGATTTTGGGTCTCCTTCTTTGAGATTTCTTCAAAATTCAAGAGCAATTCTACATCATTTCTCTTCAAACTTGTTCTTACAATGCTGAAAGTGCCAAGAAATCATTCCCCCCAATCCAATTCGTCGATACACGAGAATACGTCAAGCAAGGACGATCCCAATTGCACCTCCAAGGAATGTTTCAATAGATGACAACGAAGAGAAATAACCTCAAGAACAAGCCAAATTCAAGAAAATTTATTTTGGGCTCAAATTAGGGGTAAGTTTCAAATTCTATCTACCATCCTTTTCCTTGAAATTAAGGATTTCTTTAGCTTGACAGCAATGAGCATAAAGTTTTCTCTTTCCATGCTTTCCTAAATACTCTATCAAAACGCGATTCATTAAGATAAATGTACTAGGAGCATTAGTTAACCCAAAAGGCATAACAAGTCATTCATACAATCCAGCCTTAGTTTTGAATGCTCTTTTTCATTATCTCGTATATGCCTTCTAATTTAATGATATCCAGATTTCAAATCAATCTTTGTAAATAGATATGAGCCATGCAATTCATCAAGCATATGGTCTAGCCTAGGAATAGGATGTCGATATTTTACAGTGATTTTGTTGATGGCTCAAGAATCCATGAACATGGACTCAAGGCTTAAAATCATTTTTCATGACACGTACTGACAAAGAAAAAATTTGATAAAAATGGAACAAGATTCGAAAAATAAGAACAAA